TCCCTGGACTCTTAGTTTCCACAACCTGTGAAAAAAAAGGATTTAGAACCAAATTCAGTTGGTTCAGTTGTCAGGTGGCCATTGTGACAGGTGCTGGCAATGGTTTGGGCAAGGTGGGATTGAGAGAGTCTAGCAGTCTAGCATGTGTGACGACTAAAGCAGACATGACATATATGAACATCATCGAGCAAATATCGAACAGTATTTGCAAACAACAATTTTGCCGTTCTTTTTCAGATTGAACACTTGCTGGGTCAACGCTGCAATTCCAAAGGAGTATGCCTTGTATTTGGCGTCGCTTGGTGCCAAGGCTCCAAAAAGACAGTTTGCTAAACCAAAGGAACATTTGGACAAGCATTGGGCGACGCATTAGCAGAGCCCATCAAACACTTGTTAAGTAGGACTTAGTAAGACGTTTGGTCATCATTGTGTCCCATAGATGTCACTATGTTTGTTTGTGTCGCTCCAGCGTCGGCGTTTGCAAACTTTAGGTGAGCAGCTCACAACGTTAGCGCATGTTAGGAGTATCCAAGCTGATGTTGGACCAACACGCTTAGAATATATCGTGGTTGACACCATTTTTATTTCTGTTCCGTGAGCATTGAGGTAAAAAAGTTATTATTCACACTGAATCGACAGCTCTCTCCGTGAGATTTTTCCAGCTGATGTGCCAGGTTGTGGTGAATGACCTTGGCACAAATACCACAGGCAGCGGTGCCTCAAACTCTGCCGCCGTGGATGCCTCAGAGCGCAACTGCAGCCAAACCAGTTCAAGTTGCTTCCACGACTTCATCATTGCACGGATGCATGGAAACTCACACATGCATGCACGTAGCTACGCGAGGAGCTTGGTTCAGCCATTTTTGCATGATTCAGAGGATGCAGTGGTGAGCATTATCAAAGAGTCCGGGGGCGAGGCTGGCAAGAGCTTATCGAGATTGGGTTATTCCAAGTTCCAACTCCAGTCTTATCTGGGTTTTGATGCGTGAAGGCAGTTGCAAACTACGATTCCGTTGTGGAGGGAGAGAAGATTGTACAGACGGCCATCGACGCGCGCTTTGGAGCAAACCTGTTTGAACGCCCTTTTACATTAGCAAACACTGAAGGCTCTACTGCAGACCCAAACTAACTACTCTCCAGCCGATTCCTGCGCTGTCGGTTTGGCAGGGGATGAAGATTTTGCCGAAGACAATTTCGCATGACGGTGGACCGGTTTCGGTTGGCCCAATCATTGGACAACTGAAGCTAGGATGACAGCAGCACCACAACAAGAAGATAACATGGACAACAACAACTACAAGAAGAAGGACAAGAAAAAGAGTGACGACGACAACGAAGACAACAATCTAGCCTGTTCCGTTCTTGCATCTCGTGATTTTGTGTTCTTGTGCTGTGTTTCCATTCCATGGACTGTTCCTTTGCGTTTTCCCAAGCCGATGAGATTAGGGCGGCTAGATTTTGAGCAAGGTGTTTTCATCTCTTCGTTAATTTCCACCCAGTGCCCAGGCAGGGGTCCAAACCAAGCGACTCAACTCTCTGTCCTTCCAGTCGCCTCGCCCAACAGGAATCCCTCACGGTTGTGCGAGTGGCTAAACTTAGGTAAAGACAACGTCGAACACGAGCCACAATGATACCAGCAAAGACAAGCCATAGCGGCAATGGCAAACTTAGGAAGATGACGGCCGGCAGCCCGCCAATGCTCACAAAGAGCCAGCACAATGACAACATCAATCAGGGGCCACAATGGCATTATCGATGACTAGGCACTATGACAACCACAATATGACACAATGACGGCAATGCGCATTTCTATGCACCGAGAGTAGAGTGTGCAACAATTTTAGCTTTTTGCTCCAAACACTCCCTAATATAACAATGACATGATACTATTACTATTTACGTATATAGTACAGTATATTGGTCCAATTTGTGTAAACTTGCATCTTGATGGCGGGAGCGAGTCTTTGCACAGGAGTCTGACGGATTTTGTTTTGACAAGATTGGACATCGAAGGTATGGCAATGTTGACATTGTCATCAACAATGCTGGCATTCTTCGCGATGTCTCCTTCAAAAGAATGTCTGAAAAGGACGGAATCTCTGAGCGGTTCGAGATGTGAGGGAAAGGTCTCCGGTGTTGGGTTGCATCCTGATGGTGTGTGAGGACTGGGAAATGGTGTACCAGGCAACGGATGCAACGGGGTGTATTCGGAGACAGGAGCAGCAATTCAATACCAGGTCTGCTGTCAGGATAGAGCAGTTCCTTGCAACATGCAAGTTTGGAACACAAGCGGCGGTGCACTTGCGAGTTCAGCCAATTCCAAGACCTCAATGTAGTGAACAGAATTATATCATGCAAGTCATGGAAGTTGAATGTGTTTGTGTTGGTTGATGCAGGTTCACCTCAAAGGTGCTTTCAAGGTGACCCGGGCAGCTTGGCCTCATATGGAGCGCCCAGTTTTTTTTCTGTGTGAAGCGTCACGGTGCTTTTGACTTGTACCCACATCCTAGTTCTCTTCTCTTGAGCATGCAGGAGACCAACTCGTACGGCCGCATTGTTAATATCACCAGTCCGGTTGGTCTCTACGGCAACTTCGGCTGCGGCCTTGCACAAGGTTTGAAGGCGGCTGTTTCTCAAGGATTAAGGATGAAGTTGTTTGCTCCGTGACCTGAGGCCAAGCGAACTATGTGGCTATGAAGAGGTCCGAGCCTGCAAGGGTTGGAGGGTTTAGGGTGCAGCTTGGGGCCACTTGGGGCTGATCCATGAGCCATTTGACTCAGAATCTGACCCGGTCGCGCGAGCCTGAGGGCACTGGTCGGATTCACCCTGACGCTGGCATTGGAAGGCATCCCGGCTTTCTGTTGCCGGACTGTCTTGGTTTCCATCCCCAAATCACGCAATCACGATGTGGATTGTGTCCTTCCGTTCATCCTCAGGTGCCAAGAAACAGATCAAGGCCAACGTCGTTGCTCCTTACGCAGCTTCGCGGATGTCGACACTTTGCCTGATGTGGGTGCTCAAAACTCTGTCGATGCCACGCATGCACAAGATTTGCTTGTCATAAGTCAGAAGACTTTGAGGAAGACGGTGATGTCTTCAGAAATGCTTGAGGCTCGCTCAATACTGTATGTGTCCAGCCTGCCAATGTGAACATGGTTTGGGTCCCTTAAGCGTCATCTCTGAGGCACTGCCTCCAGCGCCTGTTGCCAAGTTTGTCGCATTTTTGCTGGGGGCACAGAAGACTTCGCACAGAGGCAAAAAGAAACAAGCACGCGTTTGGAAATCTGAAACTAGTATTAAGATGTATTAAGATCCGATGCTTTCAGAGTATTGCTGTATATATATATATAATACATCACAAGTAAGTTCTCACACATGCGTTCTATTCTTCGAATGACATCGGAAACGGGAGCCGCCGGCCCCAAGGTGCCACGAGTCATGCCCTGAATCGGGTGGCCTCTTCGAGCTCGGAGGCAACTGGATCTCTAAGGCCGTGGAAGAAAAACATACAGTCGAGTGGGTTGCAGCACAATGCCGCTTATGATTTGCATATATATATATATACATACACACTATATACTATAATATATACATATAGACCATGCACCATTCGATTGTCCATATAACTATAGCAATACAGACAATATCCTATTGCACAACAGCTACAAACTTCTTTGACCGGATCTGGAGTGCACAGTCAGATTGGTAGTTGTGGCCCGTGCCATGTTCTGTGTAGCAGTGTAGTGTGCTTCTTGCAATTGTTTGAGTCTGATGCTGATTTCGGGCATACTTTCTTCCACCTGCAGAGGTGCGATGGCAAAGATCCAGGGGAGTCCAGTTCAATGACACTTTCAATCTGGAGGCTGTTCCTTGAATCACGTCATTTTCATGCGTGCGTAAAAAGCTTCTTGGAACGCTCGATGATTGTATTTAAGTTTGTCAAAGCTTATGAATCAAGCTCAGCAGGATACTGATTTTTCCTGGCGTTCAGGATATCGCCTCACGCTTCAAGGACATTTGTGACTTCAGTGAAGGCTCATTGGGGATTTGTGCAGTACAGTCTGTGGAAAGCTTTCCTCCCAAATCCTAAAACCATCACTGCTGCCATGACTTGCTGTTCCTCAGGTGGTTGTGTCCAATTACAAAAGCTTGAGGGGTGACACCATGTATCCGGTCAGGCGCCGAATATCCTAGCGAAGGAATGTCCGGGATGGGCCATGCAATGGTCTTTGGCTCAGCTTGAGAGGGCTTTGTTGGATGCTCCTAGTAGCGATGCCAGGAGCTCCTAGTAGCGATGCCCTTGCTCCTAGTAGCTTCTTGCTATTTCACACATAGCGAGTTGAATGGGAATCCAACTTTCCCTCTTTCTTGCTCTTGTGAGGCTGCTCGGCACAGGCACCCCCAAGTCAAGACTGAAGCCAAGCTTTGAATTCGACAGTTGCGGTTTGCACCTTTTGCACCTTATTCAGACGTCTCCATTCCAAATTGCTGGAAACCTGACAGATTCTGGGCTTTGTCTTGCTTTTATTTACCCGTCCGCTGGTGGTATCCGGGGCCTGTTGTAGAGCTAGCTGCCGTGTCTCTTTGCTGAGTTCAATTGGGACTTGGCGCCCTAGAGACGCATGGCTGCCCTGGAGCTGATTTTCCTTGGCTTTTGGTGAAGGAGCTTTCGTGGACTAGGAAACAGGAGGCAAAGTTGCTACACAAGATGCACTGTTCTCAGAGCCTGTTGCTCACCTTCGCCTGAAGTTCCAGCAGATGCAAAAAAGACGTTTAACGCTGCGGCCCGTCTTCAATTCAGGAGGCATAAGCTTACCTTCACAGCCTCACAGCCAAAGTCTTTAAAGTAACATCTCTAATTGATGACTGAAGTTGGTCCTCCTGCCCAGAGCTTTCACACATACAGATGCTGAAGTTGTCAAAGCATGTTCTACTGTTCGAGTACGATCATTGAGTATCTTGAGTTATCCAACACATTCCTTTGTGTCCATCTGTGGAAGGCAGATGCTGCACGAAGATCTCAGAGTGAAGTGTCAGCCAGAGTCTTGAAATTGGAGGCTGAAAAGAAGGAGCCGCGGATAGACAAGACAATACGATGTGGAAAGATGGGAGAACCGGAGAGGTTGTTCAGGCCATTGATGTATTGCATATTGGACACTATACTTTTGTGCAGGTCTGCCATCCATTCTTTCAACTTTTGAGGTCTAAGAGATTAGCAACGTTCAAAAGCAACATTTGGAAGAGGGACGAGCAGCATCGTGTGGCCAGTAGACGACAACCATGGCAACCTTGGATAACCTTGGTCATTTGCTGCTTCAGCTCTTTTCATCCAGTTCGTTGGTCAGGACCTTGCTTCAAAGTTGCAGAGGGAGGAGGCCCAGCTGAAAGACGAGTTGGCAAAGGCTTGATTGGGTACAGCAGGTTGCTGTCTTTGTTGTGAATACAGACTATGGCACGGTATGGTAGCACACTAGCCTGATATTTTTGATTTCTTAGCAAACTGAGAATCAACGCTGCAAATGTTGAGTACTTGAAAACCAATCAGCGGTGTCATAGCCTGGTCCAGTTTTGGCGCTGCACATGTGGCAAAACGTTGCATGCCCGAAAAAAAAAACAGCAAGCAGGGGATTGCTGCCATGTCGCCAACCCGCCTTTGCTCACATGAAGAAACATCAAGCCTATATATAGAAGTATAACTTAGTTAATATGTTTGGAGAGATATCGCTACATAGTTGACACAAAAAGAACCGGGAGCTTGAGCCGGATACACACCCAAAATTGGAACACAGATCATTGACACCTTGCGACAAACCACAAAGACCTTCCAAGTTGCACACTGCCAACTCATCCTTCCCAAGCTTGCCAAAGCACAGAAAAAAGCACCGAAAGAACATCGAATGAAGAGACTGAAGCGCAGTAAAGGACTAGAGGCCGCCACATCATTCAGCCATGATCGTTCCGCCGAGCCAGCAGTCTTCCAGGCTTCTCTCTTTGTCAATGGCCAGTGGTGCCGGTGCCAACACCCGCACCGCGGCCAAGGGAAAGCCGACTGCGGTCGTCCCAACCGTGCGACCGCGCCGTCGAGAGTCGCCCTTGGCCGCTGCTGCCCGCCGGGCGAAGGAGGCGATGGAGAGGCGCCCCACGAGATCGAAGGAGGTGATGCAAGGTGTCGCCCAAAGGTCTGAAGTGTCCGAGAAAGCCAAGGTGTCGCCCAGCCGGCGGCCGCCTGGAAGCCAAAGAAACCAAAGCAAAGAGAGCAAAGAGCAAAGCACAGATCCAAAGGATGCACAGGATGTGAAGGAGAGATTGGAGAGATCTGAAGGAAGATCTGAAAAAGACAGAGATTTTACTCGAACAGTTGGAAAGTTCGAGAAACATGGATTCACAGTGCCAAGTCCAGAGACCTCTGCGGGCTCCACTCCCAAGTGCGTTCTTTCGGAGGACTGTTTCGGTGGTGTCCTCTTTCAGAGCCAATGTTGTTGGGATGGGAAGTATGCAGCGAACAGGACACAAGCACCAAAATCGCTGACAGATCCGAAATACTGGAGGTGCGTAAAGTATGTCCTTGCTACTCTAAGCTTTAGAACTCTTGCCCTTTGCATGTCTTTCGTGCTGCTAAGTGGCAGGCAGCACAGGTGCTGCGAAGGGAGGCCCAGGACTTGGGACAGGCCCTCCGACAGTGGGTGGCAGAGGCTGAGGCGACCAAGAAGGAAGAGGCCCAGCACTCAAAAGATGGGATTTCAAAGCCCGTTAGAGTGCTGTATAGTACAAGACATGATGTTTTGAGCTTTATAAAGGCGCCAAAATGCATGTCGCTTTTATAATCTCATGTGCTCCCAGTTTGCGAGTGCAGGTGCTTGAGGACGAGATTGGTTCAGAGGTGCGACGGAGAAGACAAAGTCGTTGACAAAGTCAGAGGAAACATGGCCTTCAACCTAGGAGCGATGGCCTCCAACCTAGAACCAACGGTCTCGAAATTAATTGCGATGGCCTCCAACCTAAATTGCAATGGCCTCTAACCTAGAAGCG